TGTAGCCACTGGTCCCCTCATGACCAGCCAGCCCTCGGGCTTCCAGGTCCTCCTCCAGCCGCTGACATCATCTCCTGACACCTCCTGGCCGGGTCTCACACAAACCAGAGTCTCCAGAGTCTCCAGAGTCTCACTCTCACACTCAGACTCAGCTCACTCATTACACAACTTGACACACTCATGTTAGAACCACACAACCTCTCAGTGCCTCACTGTCGTGTCCTACAGTAGGCTCTGCACAGACAGCTGACAGCACACCATTCCTGCGCCCAGTCACCAATGCTAACTACCTCCACCCTCAGTGGAGCTTTAACTCCCTCTCACTCTCATTCACAGCAGACTTACTGCACAGCCCTGTTCTCACACTCAACAGGCTGCTCTGTCTTTAAAAAATCACATCTTTCACACCAGACAATTCCCTCCAGGATAGCTGCTCTCACTCCATCCCTTCGATGTTCTTCTCCACAGTCTCCTCTGACACTGTTGCTCTCATATCTCTCCCCTCATCAGGGTTTCTTACACTGCAGCCACTACTCTGCTCTCACATCCGGCAGACCTGTTCTTTCCAGCTCTTATTATTAGACACAGCTCCGACCTGGTGACTCTCACTGCTGTGCCTCAGCCTGCATGTTAACAGGAGACCTGTTCTCCTCTGGACTGCCACTAACTCAGGACTGACCTCCTGCTTCAACTCTCCCAGGGACGTTTTCAGCCTGATCTTATAATCACACCTCCAGCTGAATCCCCTGAGCTTCCAGATGCTCTTCAGCTGTGGTCACATAGTAATGTGCAGTTCTCTGTTGAGAGCTCCGCCTGCCTGCCAAACACACCCCATATGACAACATTTATACCAAAAGAGCAAAACTCAAGAAACCACAAGCACTTCAAAAACATTTCATTTCTTAATGCAGGTGAAATTTGTTTCACAATTTTGGCAAGTATGCTAACTAGGCTGACTATGAACAACAATTCTATTGATGCATCTCTACAAAAGAGTGGTGTTCCAGGAGTGTCTGGATGCCTGGAACATGCTGGCACCATTTCTAAGATCACAGGAAGTGCGAAGCAAAAAGACCTTGCAGTCCTATTGTTAGATCTAGCTAATGCCTGTGGAGTTATACTATATCTCACAAGCTGGTTGTCACCATTTTATACTACTTTGTTCCTGGAAGGTTTTAAGAGCTACATCATCTTTTGATCTATAGACACAAAGCAAGGAGCCCTGAACTGACTGTACCCTGGGGCATCAGTGTAGAGGAGGCACATGAGCAAAAACCCAGGGAATATCAGTCCCTCATCCCCGAGTGTCAGAGAAATGTGTGGACAGTATGAAGACTCCCAGCTGAAGCTGGCTGTAGAGGTTTTGTGGGACAGTCACTTTGGAGAGGCCTGGGGCTGCTTGGTGTCAAACAAGCAGCAAAGAGAAAGTTGGTGGCCAAGGTCTGTGAGCAAGTAAGTGCAGTATCCATCTGGATACTGGCTCTGGGTGACAAGGAGTGAGCTTTGGCTGTAGGGAGACAGACCTGAGCTGTTATGAGTGGATCTGAGTAACAACACTTGTGCCATAAACAATCCAGTGAATCTCAAAGAAAATGAGGGTTATATATCTTCACACCTCTGTGTTAGTTTATTGTAAATGCTCCTCTGGCAGGGATTACACTGACAAGATGTGTCTTGTGCGTTTCTGGCCCTTTTGAGAGGGGATATGTGACCAATTTGGCGGAAGATGTTCATGGTCCATCTCCCATTCCTGAATTGTTCAAACTGGTAGAAGCAGTAAGAACAGTTCATTCATAATGGGTTGTGCCTAAAACAAAGAGATGAAACTGAAAACTGATAGCTGCTGGGGTTCTTTGAGTACATGAGGAGAAGCCAAAACCTTAAGCAAACACAAACAAAATGTTATTTCACACTCTACTGGTGATTAAAAAAGTCACTCTGCTAGTTTTTTAAGTGCCTGCTTACCAAACCACCAGACCAAATCTCAGTGCAAATGGAAGGAAGCTGTTCAATGGGAAAAAACTGTTAAAGACCATCAGCCAATACAGGGCATCAAAAATTGATGGTTAATTCTATGTCTCAATGTAATCCCTCAAGATCCTTAGTTAATTTAAATTTCAGGAGACTCTATTAGCAAAGCATGGATTTGCAATGGGTCTGTAGCACTGACTTTCTCCTTTGAGAAACCTCAGCTGAGAATGCTATTCCAATCATAGCAGACATGGACAAATGTTCTGACGAAGGAAGAGGAAGAATACTGGGTAGGGATGCAGAAGTGGTTTAAGAGTTTATCAGAAATCTGTACATGTATAAGGAATATATATAAGCCATTACCAAATCATTATATTTCTCTATTAAACGATTCCTGAAATAGACTGAGGTATGGTGAAATGTTTCGGAATTAATAATGTTCGAGGAAAATGGATTAAAGCAATGTTGCACTGTCCCTAGAAGGCTTCTGTAGTCACCTTGCATTTTGGCTCAAGCCCAGGCTGTGGTGTTTCTCTGAGCCAGGATGGCTTCTGAGAAGGTAGGGATCTGGAAACAGGTGTGCACTATTGAGCTGGACACTCCTGGGCATTCCGCATGAGGATTGTAGGGCTTTGGGATAGGTTCCCATGGAATTAGCCCAGCCCCTGTAATTAATGAAGAGGCTTATAAAAGTGACGTTTGGGAGAAATGCATTCAAACGTCAGTGTGAGTATTGCCCATGCTCTTGTGGTCTGGAGTAGTGGGATTTGTTTGGTGAGAAGAGCAAGATGTCACTGGTTTGGAAAATTCAACCAGCACACTTTTACTGAAGCCAGCAGATCCTCCTTGGGACTTGACAAGCTGAGCTGTGTGAAAACACAACGTTTTGGCCGTGGAGCCTTTACAACGTTGTTTGATTTCTTCTTTTTTTCAGCATAGAATAAACGTATTACTTGTTCCTTTGCAGCCTATGCATACTGACACAGCTACCCACCTAAGCTGAGCTGTGGCTTGGAAATGCAGTAAGGGATGCTGTCCAGTAGGGGGAGTTACATGTGCTGGGATGGTATGTAAAGGATGCGTGTGCCAGCTCATGGGTAAGCTATGTTGGGATGAGCTGAAGCTGTGGAGTAAATTGGCATTGCAGACCTACATTCAGCAGCACTGACCACAGCTGTTCAGGGTGTTGTATGCAAAATCCAGCTGAGCTTGTCCACATTGGTGTTTCTGTATTTTCTAGATGAGGGTTAGCTGGCTGCACTGTTGTACTGCTTCTGGAGGCAGTAGGTCCTTCAGCACAGGACTGACACTCTGCACAATTGAGTCTTCATGGGTTCGTACAGTGCCTTGCATTGATCCATCCTGTATGTCTTGGCAGCAAGCTGTTATGGAATCTGTCACTGAGAACCCCATTCCAAAGTACTAGGAAGCTGTAGTGGGAAGAACCCAGTGCACTCCTGATTTGGGGGATCCAGAAACCCAGTCTGACCCTGCTGAACAGCCAGTGGGGAGAGATCCACCGAAAATCCAGGTAGGGCACTGCGGTACTTGGCTCAGCTGTTGAAATGAGTGGAAAATGAAGGTATATTGAAGGTCTGGATAAAAGCATCAGCCTAACAACCCAGTCCCTTTGTGCTAAAGGCTGCTTCCTCACAGCAGTATCTCCACTGGACAGTGATGGAAACCGTCCTTCAATGATGGTAATGGGTGAGGTTGAGCATGCTCTCTGTGCTTGGGAGTCCACTGTGTGACTGTCCTGGGTATGAGTGTCCAGTGTGTGGTGTCAGGACTTGGTCATGTAATCTG